GGTACCCTTAGTGAAATGCTACATGAACGCCCATTAAAAATACCGGATCCGTTCGGATCCTTTTTTGCGGAACACTATTTGAGATGATGTCACGCAAGCTAGTTTTTTAAACAATTAATTTTGATTGGTTAAAGATGTTAGTGATGAATCGCGAACACTTGGATAATAAATTTTCATCATACTATCTAAGTTAACGCAAACAAATAAAATCATATAGTAAATAGTTATGAATCCAAATAAATAATTAATTAAAGCAAAAAAAAAGAAAAAACGAATGAAATTAAATATTATCAAAAAGAATTTTTTTAAGGAAACTCATTACTCCTGAAGGTAGCATCTACATGCATACATCTCCGCGAAGTGTATCAGTATGGTTGGTTAGTTTACTGAATAAATAAATCCACAAAATCTTAAATTTACTGCTGCTTATTAACTGATCATATACAGTATTTCTATACTTCCTTTCTTGCATCGCAGTCGTGTTTTTATTTAGGACGATTCCTTTTAATAAACTAGATAACGTACAAAAGACCATATCTATAAAAAAATAAAATCGAATCACCAAAATTTCCGATGTCCTTGCTCGTATTTTATGTTTGCAGACTATTATCATTCCAAAACTTCTCGATAGAAGTACGTCATCTATCCACGGGTCATCCGTCTTCACATATCTCAACCCTGGTTACTCACCGACCTGCAGGTAACCTTGATTGAAACACTAGTTAAAAACATGAAAAATGGAAATTTTTGAGCAAAATTAAAAAACTTGGAAAATTCTGGATTACTGTGGCTTGGTTCGTTACGATTTAACGATCAATTACGCGACGGATGCGATACAACGCGAAATAATTTTGTGTTGATTATATTTTTGTCCGAAGAACTGATTTAATTAATATATAAGTTATAGATTGTTGATATATTCGTTAGCCAATCACGAAACTTATAATATTCTATAGACGTAGCCTTTACTTTTAATAGCTTCTATTGACCTAGCATGGTAGTACCCTATACGTATTTATATATGTGTTTTATCGTCGAAAACCCAACGTATACAGTACCAATCACAATTCTATCCCGGAGCATATTTATATGATCGCACAATCGTGGACACTTTTAATTCTGACGATAATCAGTCTACGAAAGTGTTGTTAATGGTTTTTTCTTTGGTGATTGTCACTTTCTTTTATTATATTATTTATCATGTCAGATAATAAATAAGATAATAAAGAAATACGACAATTACCAATGGACAAACCGTTTAACAACACCGATCTAGGATATAACCGATAATACATATTTAGTACTATTTAACTCTTACGTATCAAAAAAAATGCTTTTTTTTTTGTAAATGGATTTATTAAAATTTTACAAATCAGACTACTTTATACAGTAATAGAAGTAATAGATTGATTTTAATGGTTTAGTTTTTTTTTTAAATAAAAAAATTTTTATAACTTAAAACAAAATGACAATAAAGATCCAGAATGTAATTCTTTACAAAAACTAAATAATTAATTATTGATACGGTCAGACCCCCCTAAATGCAACCCCTCTAAGTGCACGTCCTATTAAAAGCCTCACGTCTTTTCTTGGGCCCAACTAATATTACGCCTATAGATTTTTACCTCCCTAAATGCAATACCTCTCTCTAAGTGGACGTTTGGCTAAATTTTTACATATGGTCCCGTCGCATTGCATTTAGAGTGTCTGACTGTATATCCTGATGCGTTGGGAGAAAACTTTACATAAAAATTACAGATCCGTGCAAATAACTGATACAAAGATAGTCACTGTAGTAATTATGAGAACAAGCAACAAAATGATGAAAAGGTATTACAGATAGGTAAAAAGACGAACTAATAAATTTGAATCATACTTACAACAACGTCTACCAATCTTTTTAGCTTCAAGCTTAAATGGTGATCCCATTATCACTTGAACCTATTAAAGGAATTTGACACTCGAACCGCATATTTGGTCGCACACGTATAAAACAACTAAATTATTTCTGTCACTTATAATTAAAATCCTAATTTGCTTAATATCAGGAAACGCAAAAATTTACACAAGCAACAAAAGTAAAAAAATTTTTATATTCTAATACACCTATAAACACATTATCTCATATTCTAAACTTGACATATCAAGTATATGTTGTTAATGTGCATGCAGATGATAACAACCAAGCATTTCAATCATTTCTGATGGTTACCCGAAAAATAAACGTAACATCATAAATGACATCCATCACCTACTATTGTACTATAAAGCAACGAGACAAGTTCAACAACATTTCAAATTATTTAAAACACAATAACATCCCAAATAATCCAAATTGTTCAAGATTCAACAGTTTCGGGAACAAATGCCAATAAGATCTCGCTATTCAACTCAAGAAACATTGAATATTTCGAACGATTTGCTACTATATTTTTGTAACCAAGACTATTCCTAATTTGTGAAAAATTATCAACAACATATCTCAAAAATCTTTTCTTTAAATCTGGCCATTTCCATGCATTTCCAAATAAACTTTCTGCTGCAGTATTTATACTCATTCCTTCAAGAATCTTTAATTTTGCTTCCATCTCTAAATCTGTTATTAGATATTTATTAGCGATTGTATAAAGATTCCAAATATTTGGACAATTATTAATATCCACTTGATCCGTATAAAGAAATAAAAGCATTTGAACAGCGGTTTGATAATCAAAATCTGGAATATCAACTGAATATTGATAATGCCGATTAATTATCATTTTTGATGATGCATCAACTTCTGAGCCTCTACGATCACTTGATATAGTATCATCATCTTCAATCATGTACTGTTCATTAGCGATAGATTGGTTACATTCTAACCATGATCCATTAAACATTCTTTGAAAATATTCTGAACGTTTTGCAAGAATTGAACTACTTGCAAAAATTGTTTGTCCTTGAACCGTAATTTTAACATCACCTGATCCAGGTTTTTGAAATTCATTTTTCCAAGCTGATATTAAAGTTCCAGGAATTGGTTTAATTGGAACAGGTTCATGGAATGATAATGTTCTAAAAAAATGATTTCCAAGTTGTGTACTTTTCAATCTAACTCCGATGATAAGGTTATCGGTAAGTCTAGAACGTCTGCAAAATTGTGCCATACCTATTTTAATAAATTCTCTAATGAATTAATATTTTTTTATACAAGCCTTTTTTCTTCAAAGATAGGTAGTCATTCTTTAAATTTTAAAAAAAATTTATTCTACTTACGTAATCTCCGAATCTTGACAGCTTTGAATTTAAATCTTGAAGATGTAGTCATTTCTTTGATAATCGATCCATCAGGTCGTTTCAAATACATTCTAGCAGGTAGACAATTATTTCTAGACGGATCATACTCGTCCACTTCATCCATGTTACAAATTGCATGGAGATAGACTGCACAATATTCGGGATCATTTGGTGATTCCTAATAATAATAAATGGCGTATATATATAATAAATAATTTTAATTGATATCCCACCGAAACATATAAACTATATAAATGATATATTTGTAAATATAGATTATAAAGATGCTTACAAGTACAAATCCCAATTGCCAAAAAATATTTGGCATCGTTTCAAATCGTGGACTGCATACTTTGCCTTGAAGTTGATGAACATTTGTCAACTCAAACTCAAAAGAACTACGATTTCCAAATCCATCCACTGGGTCCATTGTTACAGCCGAATTGCTGAAAAAATAAAAATAAAAAAAATAAATTTATTACTTTGTTACATTCCATTAATGAGTATTGCATTCAGTTCGCATAAATTTGGATATTTTTAATTTTTTTCTCGAGGCGAGCAGCGAATAGTTTCGCTTTATTTAGTATTTTTCTTTTTATTATTTTTCTCTTTCTCGCCTTTCTTTCTAGCTAACCTTAGTGTCCTATCTGTGCCGTTTAACATGGGAAGACCAGACGTAATTATCCTCAACGTCTTTTAATTAAATTCTAAAGTAATATCCTTCAACTGAGACTCGGACTTTTTACTAAACGAACCTGTTAGTTGTATTGTGCTGCTGTTGTTGCCTCAAGCGTCTTAACCCTATTGGCACCCGTCTCATTATACTGTTATAGGAAGGAGATTAAATATGTAAAGAAAAATGAGTCCTTCCTGATCTATTTATAGCATTACGTCACCGGAAATTACTGCGGCCAATCCACGTTACGAGATTTAATATCTGATATAGTGATAACGTTAAATAAGGACTATATAACTTACCTATATATATAATTTGCAAGAGTATATATTCCTTTTGCTTTGAACAAAGTTTATTGATTATATAATAATAGTATTTTTTTTAATTTATACTTTAGATACATGTAAGCTTTATTATAACTTTTTTTTAAACTTTAAACTTTCTTGATAAAACTAATAAAAAAAAATAATTTTAAATATATAATATATTTCTTGTGTTTCAAACCCATCACTATGATTAGTTGGCTTAATAGACTTAGCCTGTTAAGTAATCGATCCTTTGAAAAAAACGGCTTAGCAGATTTTTAAATAGAATCAAGGGATTTGATCATTACCGTTACGCGTTATAGGATTCTGCTCTGCATCTAAAAACATAACCTATATTGAATTTATATGACCAGATCGATGTTTTTTATTATTATTTAGTTGACTAAACCGGTTAAGCTGATTTTGTACGTAATAGTAACATTGACTTAACGATCGATAATTTAGGCCTCAACTAATGCTAGTAGAAAGTTATTAATACGTATATATATTCCAAAAAATTAAAAATTAAAGCTGCAATAAAAAAACACGTATTATTGTTATAGTAGAGAGAGAATTTATTGCGCTTTGCAAAAAGATGTTACCTCTGCAGATCACAAAATCGTGTGAGAATGTTCAAATAAATATAAATATAACTGATCGAAATATGAATCAATAGACAACTTAGAATCTCGAAAATTTTCTTCGATCATCATCACGAAAATCGTGTGCTAGTTCACAGCTAGTATATAAAGTTTAAACAAATTATATAATTATCGTTATATTTTATTATATACATAATGAAAATAAATATATCTGTCATATGTATCAAGGCGAAAGGAACTTGTCAGAGATCTTATAACGCATATATTTTATACGGGGAATCCTCTATAAGTATAGATCATACAAGTGCGCATTCGTAGAGTAATGTCATTTGATGTATAGTGTTAAGGTTAATGTAATGTGACAACGAACATAAATTTCGCAAGGTTGTAGCATAATATACAATACTAAACTCTATTTTACTAATCTAAATAATTTAATTTTTATAATCTCTAAATAATAATTTAAATTTTAACTTTCAATAATTGAAAAAAAAAAGTATTGTATCATAGAAAATAATTATTGCAGCAATCACTATATTAATAAATGGCTTTTCAACACGCCAAGACGACAACAAAATTTAATAAGAATGTACTACTATTTTTTGTTTTTACATTCACAATTCTTCAACATTTTTTCCAATTCTTCAACCTTTTTCTTTAACATTTCATTTTCTTTAGTAATAACATCGATTCTTTGTGTATTTTCAACCAGTCTATTTTGTAACTCTGCATGTTCGCCCTATAGATATATGTATACATAAAGTTAAATTCTAATTCTATCACATGCCTATTAAAACAATAATAATAATACTTACTTGAATTGGTTCAGATAACAATTCAAAATCTAATATTTGTTTAGCATTTGGTCTTTTATCTGGATCTTCTGCCATCATCCACAAAATAAACGCCGTCTATAATTATTAAAAAAAAAATTTAATACCTAAAATAATTTAATTCTAGAGTTAAAGTAAATTTGCAAACCTCTTTTGGGAATCGTTGGACAAATCCGTTTGGTAATATACCATGTCTTAAATCTTTTAGAACTTGATAACGTTCATGCCCAGTTGAAAATGGGAAATGAAGCTCAAAGAAAATTATTCCTAACGAATATATGTCAACCTTTTCATTATAGGGTATGGGAGGTTTTGCAAGCTGCTCAGGAGAAGCATACTAAAAAAAAAGAAACGACAAAATTAAAAAATTAAACATCTCAATACAATAGAAAGGTTCTTAATTCGATAGAGAAAGTACAATCTAATTTACCGTAACTGTACCAACACCAATAGTTCTTGATTTTGAAGTTAAAGAAGAGCTTGATCCATGATGATTGAGTGTTCGATTGCTAGAATTAAAACATTCAAGAGAATTCCTAGCACTCCTAAAACTGGATGAATCAGAATTATTCATAGAAGAATCTGTGTTATCATCACCCACGGCTGTAACTAAACCAAAGTCACCAATTTTTGGTACTAATCTTTCAACATTAATTGAAGTATTCTCAGTAGCAACCCAAATATCATTATCATAATTAGTATCAGGAACCATTCCAATGAAAATATTTCCAGGTTTGAGATCTCTGTGAATCAACCCTTGTTCATGAATATAAGCAACACCACGAACTATTCCACGAAATAATTCAATGCTAGCATGACGATCAACAGCGTTCAAAGGATCTTTTTTCGTTGCTAATAAATTAGCATCTCTACGTTTCAAATAATCTCTCAAAGTACTATGACATAATTGCATTTGAATAAAAAGAACCCAATCTCTTTCAAACGTTGACGATTCAGTATTATCTTTTCCAGTAGATCGTGAATATGACGAATTAGAAAGATCACTTCTAAAACTATCATGATTAGATGATCGCCTTGTGACACCTGTGACAGAAGTAGAGGATTGTAATATTTCTACATTATCTATATTAGAATTATCATCAGTAACAAAGTCAATTCCACTATAATTTTCAGATCTAGCTTCTTCTTCATCATCAGAAAAAGACATTCTAAAAATATCCGAATCATTATCAGCATTATAATCACCACCATTAGTTTGAGTTGATTCACTTGAACTCAAAGAATCAGAAGAGGTATTAGCTGAATGTGAAGACATTGGAATTTGAAAAGCTTCACTACAACGTTGTTTATTATTAACGTGTTCCAACCAAGAACTGTAATATCGTACAACATTTGTATGCTCTAATCTAGCAAGGAATATAATTTCTCGAAAAATCTAAATTAAAATCAAATAAAAATTAAAAATATTTATATATATATATAATATTAAAGATATATCTCGAAAACTATATCTTAAACAAAATAACAAACACACTTTTTCTTTTTCTTTTGGTATTTTATCGCCTCGTAATCTGATTTTTTTAATAGCATAATCTATACCATCTAATTTATTTTTTGCCTAAAATTTACGTATTATCACATGTTATATAAATTTAATAATAAATTTAAATATATTATAAAATAAATAGTAAAATAGATAGTAAGATAGATTAACAAACCTGCCAAACACTAGCGAAACCACCCTTACCCAATAACCTTAATTCAACAAAGTCATTGTTGTATCTACTAGTTTCAAGATCAAGAATGTCAACGAATGTCAGATTATTGAATGAATAAGGTTTCGAAGAAGGTGAGTAATATCTAAATAAAATAATCAACATTACAAGAACAATAGAAAGTTAGAACTACAGTAAATAAATTAATTAAATTAATTAAATTAATAATAATAGAAACATACTTAATCTCTTCATGATCAACCGGAGAAGCTTTTCCATTTTCAGATACAGAACCTGGAGGCATAATCATGTGAGATTCAATCATTACTTGTTCTTGTTTAATAGAATTCAACGCTTGAACGACCAAAGCTTTGAAAGCGCATTGATAGGAAGATTGAACGGTAGACATTTCATCAATGTACTTCATAAATTTTTGAGACGCGTTAAATATTTAAGAATTCTGCGAAATTTGTTTAGGAGTTTTGATTCATTGATATTAGAGTTTACAGCATTTTATAGCTATAGTTACTAACCTCTTCCTCGATAATTCCCATAGCACTTAACATTTTACAAATGACGTAGAATAATTTACGGCTTCCTTCAGGATTAGTATCATATAATAAACAAAAGTTTTCAAGAAGAGAAACCAATAATAAACGTCCTAAAAGAAAAGTAAATAAATAACTAAAACAAAAAAATATTGTATAATAAAGATATAAGTAAGAATATAAATTATAATAATAAATTAATATACCTTGACGTCGTTTACTTTCCAATATACTATCGTAATCACGAACATTACGGGTAGCAATTTGTAGAGGGTTTGAAAAAGACGTGTCGGTATACAAAGGTTGATCAGTTTCTACAAGACCAATAAAAGATTAATAAAAAAGCAATAGAACAAAATAAAAATAAATAATAACAATAAACAGTAAAAAGAACAAAAAATAATAACAATAATAATTATTATAACAATAATAATTATTATAACAATAATAATTATTATAACAATAATAATTATTATAACAATAATAATAATTATAATTATTATAATTTAATGGTTACCATCGAATTCATCGATTTCATTAAACACAAGAGACCCAACTTTTATAGAAGAATCGTCTAAAGAACCAGGAGTTTCAATAAATCCTCTAGAGCTCAATAAAAGTTCTTCATCACTTGTATATTCATCTTCAGTAGTTGCAACTTTTCTTTTATTAGAAGAATCATCAGAAGAATTATCATCGGAACTTTGAGACACAGCAAAAAATTTGCTATTTATAGTAGGACTCTTGTCGTTTATAGACCGTGTACTGGCAGTCATGGAAAGAATTTTGTGATAGAGATCATGGTATTGTATATTTTGAAAAAGTTCGATAACGTTATATTTATTGTATTAAATCAATAAAAAAACGAATCGAATGGAAGGATGATTTTTTTTCCTAAACAATGCTAATTATAAATTTTAAACAAGTTAGACTTTATTTGAATAAAATTGAATAAAAAATGAGATATACAGTAATTATATGCAGTATAATATAATAATATACCTTATTATTATTATATATTATTGATTATTATTAATGAAGATAATTTTGATGACTTCGCAACGACAGAATTTTAAGAAACGTTGATGAGAAGTCGTTCTAGTGAAGAAACACGTTAATGAAAATTTTTTATATTAATATGGATAAGCATGTCAAATGGTGATTGGATGCAATGATAAAAGTGGTCACGCGATGATGTGATGTACATTGATTGTAAAACGTTAATACTTCTTCTGTACCTATTGACAAAATCATACTTTTAAGCATCGTTATTGGTCCAAATTACTGCGTGGAATTTGGCTAATTTTTTCTTTAGATTCTAGAATTCATTACGTACCAGCAAGGTGGTTCATAAATGCTACGGATTTATTACTGATTAGTCAACTCCGATTGAGTGTAAATTGAAGACTGTATTGTATCGGTATAACTTATACCTTGAAAAAAATTTATTTGACTCTGGAACGAACTCATTTCTGCATTTATAATGAACCCAAGATACGTGTTTAAATTTTATTTGTAAAATATGTACAGTATAAAAGGATATTATTTACTAGTAAAAATTTATTGAAGCATTAAGATTAATCAATATATTATTAGACAACACTTATTTTTATAACACGAATAAAGTAATATTTTTTAAAAAAAAATTTTATCAAAAAACCAAATAGTTTTTCTTATTTATTGTTGTATTTGAAGTTTATTTTTTATATTTAGTTGAATAATAATTTACAATATGGCTATTTGAAAAAAAAAAAAAAAATTTATTTAAAATCCGATAACGAGAACGCGTAAGATAATTAAATAGTCTGTTTGTGCGTTAGGCTGTGTGAGGCTGACGTGGTTGCCCCGAAGCCTCCAGAGAGTTGTATAAAATCTCAATAGTCCAGTTAATAAAGGGAAGTTCCCTGATCAAAGAATAAAGTAGCGTAGTATTAACGATATGAGTGACGTTATTATGAAGCTAAACTGTGCATTATCATGAATAGTTCTCCAAACAGTCGTAACATTACGTACTTTTTTTTTAATAATAATATGCTTTTTCTCATATTTCGTTCATTGTCCGTAGCGAGGACTTGTGCAAATGTCATGGATTCCGCTCACGTGATAAATATGCGTTAAAAACATAAACGGATCAGCTTATTGAGATGAAAGATCCCGTAAAAAATTATTATACGTATCTATATAGCTTCGGACATTAACAGCACCTGTTTCCTAGTTATATATATCATATCACAAATTTGTCTGCAAAAGCATATTACTTATGTACTGTACGTACATGTGGTAAAGAATATCATTTAAAAATATCCAAATACTAATGCGTAGTATTGATTATCATTATCCAAATATGATATATTCGGATCAAAAAATGTACAAAAGAAGAGATTACTTGTGACTCACAATCTTGTCATAAAATTTTCACTTATGGAATACAATTTTCGATGTGGAATATGCTATTTAGTTCTTTAGCGGAATAAAGGCTAAATAGTATCATCGGAAATTGAATTCCGTAAGGCAAAAAAAAACCAGGAATGTTTTTTATCTTTAACTTTTTTTCAACTGCTGACTTTTATAATTTTTTTTAAATATTAATAGGGTTCCCATAAGGTAAAAAACTAGGTTTCTACGAATATCGGGGCCCAGCATAATAAATTTGGATTTCTAACAACACAACAAACAGCAGGAAAACGACGGACAAAGTTACACAGACAAAGTTAGCATCATCAGAAGTAGGCTTAAGAATAAAAGAATTACTTGCATTCTTACAACATACTACATGTATTTGCTGTCATACGACTTGCCAGAGCGAATTACAATCAAGCGTGACTTTGTTAGTGGCAACCTTGAGTCGGGGACAAGTAATCTATATCGTTTATTATTGTATCAAAATACAAATAATATATATACAAAATTTAAAATTTTTGTGTTAGGTAGCTTTTTTTTTTCATCTTGTAACCTTTACTTTCAAACCAGTAGAATTTTGATAATCAACGTTTAAGTGATAAAATTTTGCCACAACATTTAAAAATGTCCATCTCGAAACATGAGCTTTCTTAATTTCGATTCTATTCGATTCTTATTCGATCACTGCAAAATAAATTTTGTGCTCCCATTGGTGGTATCATAACAATAATAAATAATATTTATTACCGTTACGTTACCGTTACCGTTACTATAATTTGCCACTTATAATCCTTATATTAATAAATAATTAAGCAAAGGGAAGCAGTATATCAAAATCTAAATAATGTATGTATGTACTGTTAACAAACATTTAAGTGCTTCTTGCTTATTATTAACCTTATCTCTATTAGATTGAACTTGAATCCTGTCTCGTGATCAAAAAATGATCAGTTACTGCCTTTATTCACGTAATAGTAATGAAATTTTACTTGGTTTCTTTATGAAAATTTACTTGGTTAAATTTTCTTTATGATACAGTATATATAAAATACATATTGTTTTATTTGCTACATTATAAGGTGTTTGTTGTTTTTGAGTATTTCTTAGCCAGTTTTGTAATATATTTAACGGAACACTTTATTTATATAAAAGGAATTTTTAGTATGTTAATAAAAAAAAATGGTGGTAATTATTTATATTACTGTAACAAACAATTTTTGGATGGATACTGTTTTTGGAATTAAAATTTTTTTTAAATGAAGTAATTCATGCTTCCATTAAAATTCGATTATGAATATTAACTAAAACACTGAGAGAGAATTAGATATACTGTCCCTACTTATTATTCCAATTTTTTTTTTTCTGTCTTTCTTTTTTTTTTAATACAATAAAAAAAAAAAAAGTTAACTACCTTCCTGTAAATAGATACTTTTATTAAGATAACAGGACTAAAATAATTAATTCACTTTGTTTGATGGAGCGACTGATACTTTAAATATTATTCTATATTCTCTCAAATCGCTGAAATGGTCTTTAATTTATTTTTATTTACTTTTTTTTACATAACCATAACGATAAGTACTGTTCTCGGTCAAACAGTACCTATCGATCAAACTACTCCTAATATTACCGTTCAGGGGAGTCCCGCTCAACCAAATGACGCTGCTAGCCCTATCGCTACAGGTGACATTAGCATTTGCACGACTTGTGATGAAGTAAAAGTCGCATGTGGTTCAAAATTCAATCTCCCTAAAGTGAACTCTCAAGGCACTTATATTGCTTCAAGTAAGAGATGCAACCTTTTCCTTTTTTTTTTTCCTTTTTTTGTATGTATGTACGTACTTACGTATATTATTTTTTTTATAGATCAATGTTATTGTAGTTATGATGTGTATAATTCTTTGTCTCAATGTTTGATTTGCTATAATGGCGCAAATGTGGGAAATAGTACTTTGGATAGTCTTGACGATTGGAACGCTACTTGCACTGTCTTAGGCTCTTCACTCGACCAAAATAACACGACGCAATCGAACCAACCTGTTGTTCAGCCAACTAATAATAATAATAATGCTACGGATTCTTCTGATGAAAATCTAATACGTGCAATAGGCTTTGCTGGATGTGTTGTTGTTTTAGTCTTACTTTTCATGGCCATTGTCATTTTCATTAGGAAACGTAAACATAAGTGGAGAAAAATCGAGGACTACAACCCTGATATATCAAAACCCACAAAATCATTAGATTTAGTAGATGATTACAAACGTGGAACAAAATACTCTAATAATAATAATGATAATCAATTCAAAGAAAAAGAAAATGATACAAAACAAAATGATATAAAACAAAATGATATAAAACAAAATGATGGTGGTGTTATGATCGATGTCAATTTAAATGATCAAGAACAACAACAGCAACAACAAAAACAACGGCCTTTATCTGCTCCAAGTGATATCAAAAAAGAGACTTCCCAAGAATACGATCAATATGACGATGAAACTATTGGTCAAGCAATACTACCTGTAGCCGCCGCCCCTGAAATTATTACTATAATCCCTGAAGTTCATATAATTGATGAAAATTCAATCGTTGATTTCAGTGATAATATCATTGATAGCCAGCTCCAACAACAACAATACTATTATTCTAGTGAACAACAGCAACATATTGTCCCTAATGGAAACGTATATTATTCTAGTGAACCGCAGCAACATATGGACCCTAACGGAAATATATATTACATTTAACCCTTTTTTTTTATCCTTCCTAAAGATAGAAAAAAAAAAAAGGTGTTACTTCTAGATCGTAATGTTAAAATTTTTCTTTATATAGTTACGTATTTTTATTTATCAGAAATATTTTATAATTTGGCATTATGCGCGGATATTTGTAGAAACTGTAAAAATATAATAATTTTATTATTTTCGTGCTTTTATTTTTATTTGTTTCTATATAGTATATTTTAATCCTATGTTAATTTATATTTTAATATTCTTTTTTTTTCATTTTGAATGTTGCATGGTTGATAAAAAAAAATAATATGTATTATTAATTGCATGTTATTTTTTTCAATATTGCTCATTGTTTTTAATTTTGTGTCAATTCACTTCAAGAATTAGATAATTACGCGTTTATCAATGTAGTAACGGTAATTACCCTTAATTTGTAATAAATATAATGCTCATCATTAATAATTATATTCGCTGTAGACTTGATCTAGTGTTTGTAAATTAAAAGATATGAAAAAGTTATTATCGTTATTAGAAGAACCTGGTTTAAGTCACGTGACCATGATCATGTACGCTCGACCAATCAAAACTGATTACATACACGTAAATAGACGTGTCTGATTTTCTGACTTTTTCTTGATAACCACCTAACTAAATTCGATGAAATTTTTTTTTTTTTTTACAATTCTATACATTCATAGAATTGAAATAAAAAAAATTCATTGAATTTGGTCAGGTAGTTGTCAAGAAAACTTCGCTCAAAATTTTAAAAATTTAATGCTTTATTGATAGAACAGTTTTTTTAAAGCTTCGAGAGTTTTCTCGATAACTACCCAATGAAATTTTTTTTATTTCAATTCTACACATTTCATAAAATTGAAATAAAAAACGGTTCACTGAATTTGGACAGGTTCGTCGAGAAAGCTTCGCTCAAAGTTTTGAACTTTTTTAGAAGCAATTTATTGATAAACGGAACAGATTTTTTCTAAGCTTTGAAGTCTCTCAATAGCTACCTATAAAATTCAATGAATTTTTTATTTTAATTCTATACATTTACAGGACTAAAATATTAAAATTATATTAAAAGCTAATTAAAAAAATAATAAATTAAAACTTAGTTCGTAGTTGTGTATACATTGGTAAAGGTCAGTATTATTGGTAAGCATCATACGTATATATAATAGAATATATTTGACCAATCAGCATTCATAAAAGCGGACGGACAGACAACTTTACGTGATCTCGATGATCACACGCTGTCGTAAAAACAGTGTCCGGAGCGAAGCGAAGGTCAATGCTTCCGTCACAACTGCATAATAAATTCTATAAATTGGTACGTATTAGAGATGCAGTAGAAACTTAAAGCATCGGGACATGCCGTGACGTAACTGAGTTATAACTTATTTCGGACTTTTTGTTTTAAATTACGGCATGTCGAAACATGCGTCTGTGCCGAATTATCATAACATATTGATATAACCGTGTAATATCGTAACTGTGTTATATATATGTGCATTGACATATAATTTTTACATAAAATTCAAACATATTTCGATTTGTACAGTATTAATATTAACCTATCGCTTTTACTTTAACCATTCAACTTCATTTAATATTCGTGCCAAAAAGCTTGCAGAATTATAATCAACTTTTTCAGAACCCAGCCGTTGAGTTACTGTATCTGACATTCTACCTTGGTCTTCAATAAACGTATTATTACCAATAAAGACCGTGTTTGAAATGTCAATTGATAAATTATTATTGCTTTCTTCTGGTCGCATGCTGAAAGATTCATAATAGGATTAAATAAACCTTCGTTAGGCTGCTGTTTAATAAATTCCAATAGACTAGCATTAACAGTTGATCCATTTACACTATCCCTTAGGCAAGGTTGGCAATGGATATACTCCATTGAGAAAATTACCAATGGAGCGAATGGAGCCCAATGGAACCAATGGAGTGAATGGAGCCAATGATACTAATGGAGAACCTAATAGAGCTAGTGGAGATAATGGCTCCAATAGAAATCCAACGAAGCCGATGAAGAATAGGGTTCTAATCTCTAGCCTCATATACCAATAGCTGATAAACAGGTCAAACGGATCAATGTCAATGGAGTTGGTTGACTTTCATTGGCTCCATTCAGAAATTATTCTCAATGGAGCAATGTCAATGGAGTTGTTCTCCATTCGTCCCAATGGATAAACGTGCCAACCCTGCCCTTAGGTGACATTTGGATAATTCTTTTTCATAAAAAATTTTCACTTTATATATTTTAATTATGACGTATTTATTACACAAAATCGAAATCAAGCTTTTATTAAAATTACGAAATTTACGTAACTAATTATTATACCGATACGAATATCTCAATAGAAACGTGATGCTTTCAAAGCAGCTTCGCTGGTGAATAATTAAAAAGCTTGTCATTTCGGAAATTACAAAACATTTAGATGTTAGTATGTCTTTTATAAGTCGAGTTCTCAAGCATTTCCGTGTCCCAGGGATTATGGTATAGCTATAACCCACCCGGGTGGCACTTTTTTAGACGGGTCCGATCATCTATTTTATTGAATATTACCATAATCTATTTAAAGATCTAAACTGAATTCGCATTCAAGATATACTCGATTTTTTTTTTTTTTTTGCATATTTTAATGTAGTCTCTTCATAACGACTAAATGATATTAAATTTCATTTAGAAAATGTAAATTGACTAATTTTCGCTTTATTTTTATTTTCTAACTAGATATTATTTTAAGGATTGATTCTAAAATTTTTCGAGATAAAATATAATTTTGATTTTGATTATACTGTACTAGGAAACAGGAACTGTTGAGGTTCGATGCCTTAATATTTAGATTTAATTTTCTTTAAAAAATTATAAAATATATCCGTATATCAATTAAAATAACAAGCCTACCACCAACAGTAATAAAGGTAATTTAATATTTATTATTTCAATATTCGCTTAATAAATTTATACACAGCATTTAAATTTAGTAATTTTTATTATATAACATCTTAGTAGAACCTGCTAACCAACCATTTCGTCAACAATCTACATCTAGCCTACACTAAGCTATAACCTAACTTAAATCGGTCAACTTTGTCTGCAAAACAGTTGTTGGTGAAATTGTCTTTTTTCTCTTTAGGCACGCACTGTACATACATAAAGATATATAACAATTGCTGAATTATTGTAGCATGGTAATTATAAATAGAATGCTCCCAATTCAACAACTTCTTTTTACTTGATTTAATAATCTAAATACCAATATAAAATAAGCAATAAATTTTTTAACTATAAGTAATCAAATATCACTTACCATCTGGAACTTCGACATATCTAATGCGTTGACTGGGTTGACTTACTAAAATATATATACATATAAATATACTAAACTACATTTTGAATTCAATTTGAGAAAATAAATATCATTACCTGCATTTACTATATTAACAGATTCAGAAATTTTTACAATTAATGACATATTACTAACTTTTTAAAAAATATAATTTATTACCTGGTTTAGGGAGGTTTGAAATATTCAAAAATCGACTTGTATAAATAGCTTGTGGATGTGTCTGATATTTGAATCGTGTCGAGTTGACTTGATCATATGTTAAGAAATTTTTGTCTAAGTCTTTAATATTTTTAACTTGCTCATATAATTCAGTTTTTTCATCATTTAAATCTTTAGAAAAATCATTCAACGTAATAGCTAATTCTCTAGCAGTTGGTCGGTTTTGAGGTTCTGCGTCTAAGCATTTATTCATCAGATCCAAAAATAATTGAGGAACTTCGCATCTAATTTTAGGTCTATAACCTAGACAAATACGTGTTGCTAGTTCTTCGTTGTGTGGAATATCATGATACGGAGGATATCCAGTAAAAACTTCTGACATAATTATTCCAAAAGAATAAATATCTGATTTTTGAGTGTATTCCTTTCCGTTAGTGTGTAGTACTTCTGGAGCAACATACGGAAGCACACCAAAAAGTGCTTTAGAATTTGAGTCTTGTGACACTGGCTTACATAAACCAAAATCAGTAATGTAAGAACTAAACATATCTTGATTAACTATATTGCCGGAATGAAAATCTTTGTGCACTAAATCGGCTTTATGAATTGTATTAAATAATATAAGCTAGCTACCTTAGAATCCCAATCTAATTCACCATATTTACTATCTAACAATTTTCTGAGACTTCCCTGCCTTGCGTACTCCATAACCATCATGTAGTTACCATCTTTTGGATTCTTGGTTATTCCATAAATCGCAATCGCGGAATTGCCCCCATGTTTATGTTGATTTTTAACCTAAATATTAATTAGAATAAATAAATAAGATTACTGCATTTTAATAAGGGGATTATTTTTTATACATCAAATTATTATTGATACCCCCCTGCAGATTAATTTTTTTTAAACTTTGAGCGAAGGTATCTCAGCAACTACCAGACCAAATTTGATGAACTTTTTTTATTCGAAATCTATGGATTCATAGAATTGAAATAAAAAAAGCTCTTCGGATTTGATTTGGTGGTTGTTGAGATATCTTCGTTCGAAGTTTTAAAAAAATCAAACGCCTATCAAAACAAATTGTACTAAAATTTCTTTAAACTTTGAGCGAAGATATCTTGGCAACCACAGGCCAAATTCGATAAACTTTTTTATATGAATTCTATGGATTCATGGAATTGAAATAAAAAGTAGTTCATCGAAGTTGACTTTGTGGTTGCTGGGATAACTTCGTTCAGAGTTTTAAAAAAAAAATAAAACGCCTATCAAAACAAACTGCGCCAAAATTATTTTTAAACTTGAGCTAAGATATCTTAGCAACCAACAAGTCAAATTCGATAAACTTTTTTCTTTATTTGCATTCTAGAATTCTTAGAATACAATGAAAAATAATTCATCGGATTTGACTTTGTAGCTGCTGAGATATCTTCGTAAACGTCTATCAATACAAAAGCTCCACCAAAATTTTTTCTTTTGTGTGAAGATATCTCA